TTAACCGAGTCAACTGACAATCCGTGACAGAAGTGCACACTTTAGTTTGTTTCCAAAGACAGTCTGTCTTACAATAGCTTAAGTTAGCATATTCTCAAATTGTAGCATACTCAGACCCTCAAATGAAAATAATTCATGATTCTTCCTGCAACCTGACAATATGTAAATTGAAAAATGTGACATTATTATGGGAAGTAAATGCATCCAGTCTTGTATAAATGCTCAGTAGGATTGGCCAAAATAGCTTCAAAGATTTTAATTTTGACTTGGGTATGTTACTCACCTCTTTTTCTGTTGATACTGCTCCAGAAGGGACACTCAAACCCTCTCAAGAGCAGCATTTGGTCAGCACTCAACCAATCTTGTTTTTGTAAATCAATGGTACAGAATTTGAGCATATGCAGATCAATAGCAATCAGGATGGAAATTTGATCAAATCTCAAAACACTTGCTGTAGTAATGCTTTAATGTTTATTTTAATCTAAAATGTGTCAAAATGCATAACTATTATTGCTGAATTTCCATCAATCACCAAATTTCTAAAATGGCATTCTAGGAACTAAAAAGGAACGCTAAAACTAGGTCACAAACTTTAGTAACATTACTTTACAAAGATAACTTAAAAAAACTGATCTTTAATTCTAAATAGCCCTCAAAATTGTTATCCCAGTCTATATATTTATGTAGGTGTTCAATACTGCTCCTTGAAATTCCTACTGAAGAGGGGCATAGTCTATTCTTTGGCTATTCTGCCTACTGTCATTTGAGATACATGACAGGATGGTGGAAAACTGGACTCCTCCACTTTCCCTTAAAATGAAACGATATTCCTCCCCACTCTAAACCACCACCACATCCACAGAGTTCTACAGCTACAACATTTAGGACAACATTTGGATAAGTACATGAATAGAAAGATTTGGAGGGATATGGGTCAAACACTGGCAAGTGGGAGCATGGTTGGTGTGGACTGGTAGGACCATGCTGTAAGACTCTGACTCTCTGTTAAGGTGTTGAGGTTGGTTAAGGGTTAGTTCTATGTTCTATATAGAAGATTTTATATACACAGACACAAAAAAAAGCAGTAAGACCATGCACAGAAATCAATATTTAAAATCTACTGTAAGTCGCTTATTGAAGACTCCTTCTTAACGAATCTTGATAGCTCTATAAAATTCCATTGGACAGCTTTATTTCCAATGTTTGTTGCTAAACTCTGAAAAGGCAGTGGTAGTGGGAGTTATCTCCAATTACCATCTGGTGGTGAATAACGTCCATATGAAATGGTAAAAGTTTGTTTTATAGCAATTAAAAAGTGATTTTTTTTCTTTTAAATCCGGGACACAGCTCTGAACATTACGGCACCATACTCTTCTCACACTGAAATGCGAGGATGTGTGGAAGACAAGAGCACCCATGCAGATTCTATTGAAGAATATGGTATTTAAAAAAAACTTGCTCACTAGAAGATCATATCCTACAACCCCAACAGCAACAAACATTAAATCATTTTTAAGTTCATACATACAATTAAATTTATTCAGCACAGCAAAATTCTCTAAAGCAAGGACACAATATATAGAAAATCAAAGGTGATTGAATTACTCACCACTTGACCAGTATGAGGGTTCTTGTGTGCATATGGGGGACCCCGGATATGGTTCCACATCTGGCCAGAGGTCATAGCAAGTACAAAACACTGAGAAAATGTAACAGAAAATTAATAGACCATGTTTTGAAACAAATTACAATGCGTTAGTTAGATTTGTTCCTGCATGCTTCAAAATGTATTTTACCCAGAAAGAACGCTAAACTTCTGGTCTCCTTTCTTGTCCAGTTAGCATCAACATAAGAATTCATAGCCTCCTTTAGCAAGGAGATTGCAGCCATCGTCCAAACTGCCTTGGTCTTCCTCCCTACTCGTTCACCAGGGCAAATTTCTAGCGTTTCCATTTCCCCTAGACCAGATCTAATTTATTTGCTAGTTTCTTTATCTCCCCTCATGCCCTCTCCAAGTTGACATAGACCCTGTCCCTTTTCCAACTGATATTGTAAATGGTTATCTCACCACAGGTCCTATCATCTTCCTTTAATATCTGGCATCACCACCCCAATATCAACTGTACCCATAACATTTGCAACAGCAGACATTTTTGGTCATTAAATGACATTTTTAATTGGTGCCAAATTTTATTTTAAACTGCAGGCTTATTCTCCAAGTGTGATCCTTAAGGGATTTTCTCTAGAAGATGACATCAACCCCATCATGTAGAACAATTGTAAAAAAGATCCCAGAACACTCCAATTCTCACTACTTCAAAATATTATAGATTGACAATTAATTATTTTTGATAAACAATTTTCAGCACAATTGCAATAATCCCAACAAAAGGAATTCACAAAAAAGAAATTTGGAATAAATTAATTTCATTTTCACTTACCAAAGCAACAAATGCCCAGCCATTTTTGTTATATAGGAAGTCAAGATTATTCCGTCTAAGATACACAAGTCCACCAATTATAGCAAGTAAAAATCCCAGCATCAAGGGACCAGCGTAGTTTGGAGGCCTAATCACTCTGATCTGGTTTATAAAATAAAATAAAACCAAAGTCACCAAAGTTTTGTTTTGACAACTGTTGATATTTTAGTTATACACAGATAATATTCCTTAGTATCACATGTAAAATTACACTTTCATTTTGTACTGAATAAAAACAAAAAAGGCTAATGACCTGTTCAGTACAGCCATAAACATTTTATCAATTTGACATTACATGGCAGATGAAGTCTGCCATGCTGATGTGGATAAGACATCTATTTTGATAGCAGGAAAGTCCTACTAGTATCCTGGCCAATTTCTCCCTCAAATAACGTCACCAAAACAGATCTATGGAACTTTATTCTGCTCCAATTTGCTACACCATTTTCCCACATAAGTGACTGCTTTTGAAAAACTATTCACTGGCTGCAAAATGCTGAGATATCATTCAAATATGAATGTCATATACAAATGTACCAAGTCTTGTGCTCAAAAAAATCAGAGAATTTTGGTTGTTTTTTTTTCCTTTTCTCTCCCCTCTTTTTCACTATAGTCTCTGCATCAGGCTGCTCTTCTCTCACACCCTCGACTGACCCTCCAGATTTTTTTCCCCCCCTGAAGGAGCAGCAAAATCAAGAGAGACACAGCCTGGTGGATCAGACAGAAGCTGTGATTGGAGTATAACCTTGGTCAGAACAAGCATTTAAAAAGGCAGATTTGAGACAAAGAAAAGTCATATATTTGTGAAAGGGCAGAAATGTCTCACCCTTGTAATTAGTTGGTGTAGATGCAGTCTTAGAATATGGGGTCAGCTATTTAGTCTAGAGATGGGAAGAAATATCACTCAGAGGGAGAATTTTTGAAATTCTTAATGACCGAAAGTCATGGAGGCTAAGTCATTGAATTATTAAAAAGAGATCAATGAGTGCACTGAAATAATTTTAAAAATTCTAAGTGCATTGAAATAGTTCTGAAGTTACTGTCTCAGTTTCAATTTTCATATTTCAGTTTAAACTATTTAGAATCGGAAACTTATACAAGTTGTAAATAGTACGAGAGTCAGGGAACATAATGGGCACTGCATTATAATGCTAGGATACAAATTCACCCCAGTTGTTTTTGTGCAGCTACTTTGCAATCTTGCTGAATAATAGATGCGGCAAAGAGAGGCTAGGTACACCTTTAAAACAAATAAAGAATAATCTCAGAGCAGTAGTCAGTGGAAGTCCTCAAAAAGAACAAGGTATATTTTTGTCATCAGACTCGAAACGTTAATTCTGCTTCTCCCTCCACAGATGCTGCTGTATCTGCCGAGTTTCTCCAGCATGGTTTGTTTCAGATTCTCAACACCTGCAATATTTGTCTTTATTCAAAGTTGTATTTTCGCCATCTCTCCCTTTGCAAACCTCTTGGCGTTTTTCTGGCTTTTGTCCCTGATTTTTCAACATATAGCTGATATGGAATTTTAAATTTTAACATAATCCTACAACACATTTGTCAAATATGATAGCACCACTTCATAAGAAATCAATAATCACCATGAAGGTGCCCATGATTTTTCCTTTCCAATACCAATAAAGCAATGCAGAATCTTCTTTTAGTTGAAGATCACCCATTTAATGAAAAACAGATTTCACCAGAAAGAAACCATAATTTTGAAGCATCACGCAGGCCACAGATATAATTGCTTAATTTCTGTTGTTTGCCTTCTGCATCTGTTACCACTTTGACCAGTAACAATTCTCTCAAAAGTATAAGCCTGCAAAAATGTGCATGTCAACTGATCAGCGCTTCCATGAAAGTGGATAAAATAGCCAAGATGATTTTCAAAATCACTTTTCCACCTATAAGAAAGTCCCCTCTACCACGTGTATCACTGTCACTTTTCAAAATCCTGGGCACCTTTGCAGGACTGGGCCATGGAAATGACAAAGCTGGCTGCCCTTTGTCTGGCACCTCACAATGAACACCAACTCTGAACTTTAATCTATTTTGTTTCTCCTCATTAATTTATTCTCTATTTATTGACAGCTACCAAAACTCCACGTTCATCAGGACTTCTGCTTTCTAGTTCAGATATAAGATTATGTGGCGGTCCTAATTTCATTGCATAATCCACTTAAGCAATTGCCTGTCTGTTGACTTCAAATCTATTGAAACTACTATGGAGTACTCCTTTCACACTACTGGAGGCTCCACCTCTAGGGGTAGATGCTGTCTGACACAGGAGTCAGCTTTGGACCCCCATCAGTACTTACTTTTCACCCTGCTGGCCTTCTTGGCCATCATCCTGATCACACAACCAATATTCAACACTTATCACTAGCATTTCCTAACATCCTCATTTGTCACATTCATAATTTACTGCATGAGAGTTCCCATAGTGGGCAATTAAGTTATAGATGTAATAGGTCCATCTCGTGTGCGAGGACCCATCTCATTCCCAGCCTTTAATCCACCATACCGTTCCTCAGGACCTCCATCACAAACAGAGACACATCTGAGGTGTCAAGTACATGTCAGCTGCTGATGGTCAGGGATTTTTCAATTAATTTGGATTCGTAAGGAAGAAGCCTGAAAAGTTTTATTGCTGATTTGCCAAATACCATCTTCTGAAAGAAACACAGTAAACAGGAAGAGTAGGCAATTTGGCCTTTCGAGGCTGCCCCACCATTCATTATGATCATGGATTTTCATCTAACTCAGTATCCTGTTCTGCTTCTCCACCATCTCCCACACCCCCAACTCCTGGTACCCTTTGATCCCTAAGCCCTATATAACTTCTTAGAAGAAAAACAATATTTTTATCTTAAGTGTTATGGCAGAAAGACCAAGCCACCAGATTTACAAAACACAGAATTAAAATCTCTGTCTCGGTCCCAAATTGTGAGATCCAAAGCAATTACTTTGTTAAAATCACAAGCCAATGGCAAGCTTATAAATAGAATGCGGTGACTTTCTCCAATACCATTTTAAAAAAAAAAAAAAAAAAAAATAATCAGATTTCACTTCTCATTCTGATCTCTACAAGTATTAAATACTCTCCATCAACCTCACCTCCATCTTTCAGCAGGATTTTTATCATTGACTTATCATTTGCTGAAAAGTAACTATTTATGCAACTTTAGATACTTCCTCCCCCACTTCTAATTCTTATCACCTGATGCCATTACTACTGTATAATACCAATGGCATTTTTAAGAATGGTACAGTTTCCCATCCTACCACCCGAAGTCAGCAGGGAATGAGTTCCCACTAATGCAGGTTATTACACAGCCACTTAATGCTGAAAGGAGTGTTAAACTGCTTTGAAATGGACCTTTCTCCCCTCCCTTGGGATTGATCACAGATCTTTGGTCCCAAGACACCAATACAGGGACATGAAATATGGGGGTGTTCACCAAGAGGCCTTTAAGGGAGTAGGAACACCCAGTGGGGGTAGATCTTGTCTGGGAGTGTGGGTGGGGATGTTGAAATGCGATCACTGATGGAGTGCACTTCCCACAAACAAACAAAAAAAAAGTGATCATTTCTGCTGACATCCCTTGTCCCAGATCTTCACCAACCACCCTGAAAATGGAGGTCAGACAGAAACAGCCAATTAGGAGTCACTAAAGCTACCCTCCACACTGCCTGCAAACCGGTTGGTGGGGACCATAATATCTTGCCCCAACTTTTATTGGGGGATATAATAATGTCCTGAGGGGGTGAACTCCAGATCCATTGGCTTTCCAAAATTGCCTTATTTGCCATCAAGTAATTGGTTCCCTTTTCATAGAAGCATACTCAATTGTCACCCAAGACGTACTCCAGTTATTTTACTGGACTTATAATTTGCGATAGTGACTTCAATATGTCATCAGCACCAAGATTAAACAAGTAGCCCTTTTATATTGCTTAAACTTGTGCTGTTTAATGAATTAAGTATCATCTTAATTTATCTGTTCTTTATACTGAAGTATGAGCAATGCCCAGTATCACACAGTTAAGGGAGTCTAAAATTAACATTTTAAGGCTAACATTTGTTACCAGTATAAGCTGTTCTGAGTTATTATTTAATCCTTTTCAGCACTTGGTGTCTTAAGCACCCCGCCATTCCCCTTTGTTGTTCACAGGATAATGACACTTCAAGTAACACCTCAAGTACCTGTTAACTAATCCTTGGACATTCTTGGAATTCATTTGCCAATTTTAACTGTTCCAAATAGCTCTTCTAATAGCAGACCTTGCTAACAATATTTTCATTTTCAGTCATCTGCCTTTAGTCCTTCCAGTTTAGTGACACCAGTGTCAGTAACATTCCGAAATCAGTCCTCCAGACTTCAAAAGCAGATGTCTGATCGAAAATGTTCACGCTTTCTGAGAAACCAACACAAGCTAGAATGCACCCTTGGCAGCAAGACACACACAGTGTGGCATCCAGAAGCAAAATAAAACTCTTTGCTGCTTGGACTCATGCAAAGCAAAAAAGGAAAACGGTTGTGATGGCAATCATCCTAGCCCCAAGACAGTACTGCAAGAATTCCTCAAGGTAATGCCCTTGAACTATCTTCAGCTGCTTTATCAATGACCTTTCGTGCAACACAGATCTCAAAGTGTGAATCTTGATGAGAATTGTACTGTTCAATGTGTTTGTTGGACAAATACCAGCATCCACACGCAGCAAGACCTGGACCATATTCTGGTGGTGGTAGATAGATTGTAGATACACATGACAAGTGCCAAACAACGATTATTTTCAACAAGGCACAATCAAATGAGTTCCACTTGATATTCCAAAGTATTATCATTGCTGAATCTCCAACCAACATGCTTGAAGTTACCATTGATTAGCCATCCAAATACTGTGCCTACAAGAGTAAGAGAGTGTTTAGGAATTCTACAGTGACTGACTCATTTCCTGAATTCCCAAAGCAGGTTACCTTGTATTAGATACAAGTCAGGGATATGTTCACTAACCTTGGTGAATGCAACTCCAATAACACAAGAAGCTTAACATCTTCCAGGATAATGCAACTTGACCAGTACCCCATCCACTATTTTAAACATTCAGTCTCTCTACCACTGGCATTGAGGGAGGATTATGTACCATGAGTAAATTGGTTTGCAACAACTCACCAAGGTTCCTTCAAAAGCTACTTGCAAACAAACTTGACTATTTGGAGGAACAAGGGTAGCATACGCACAGGAACACTAATAATCAAAACATGGGACAGAATCCTATGGGTGGATCTACACCATAAGAATTGCAGCTGTTTTACCACTTTCCCAAGGGCAATAAATGCCAGCCTTGCCAATGACTTACAAATTTATGAACAAAAGTTTAAAAAGAGGCACAAGAAATAGTAGGTGTCATGTACATATTTCACTGAAGCAGCAAGAATTTCAATTAAACTTAAGTTCATTCATTGTACGATCTGTCAAAGTACATTTTGTAGAAAGACCGACTGTTTCAGAAATGTATCAATGCCTGACCATACCTCATAAGTATCTACCAGATTTTACTTCTCGTAAATTTCACGGAAGAACTCACAGAAAGTCCTGCATTACTATCCAAGAGATCAGAATACGTCTCTCAAAATATTTCACTTTTGAATTTACAACTTTAAGGCACACCGACTTCTTCGACTGGCACAAAAACCATTGTTTCCGTGTACCCCTAATGCCACTTCTGATCACATTTCAGATTCTAAAAACAGAAAATAACCATATCCTGACAGCTGTTGCCCACCATTTCTCCTGCACAACATTCACAAGGATTTCAGTTTTCAAACAGAATTTCTTCATTAGTTTCCAACTTTTAGGCAGCCATCTTCTGCTACCGTAATATTCCACAATAAAAGTCGATGAACAACAGAACAGAAGCCAATTTTTCTACACTTTCATAAGCATTTATTTGCAGAGTTAAAGAATACAAGTATGCACACCCCAGTCCAACAACCAGTACCTATTTATAAATATGAGGTAGCAGGGTTAAGAGACCTCAAGAGTGGACATGCACTTTTGTTAAACACTTCAGGGCCAAGCAGGAGTTCTATACCGAACATCATGACCAGGGCCAATGGCATAAACAGTGAAATGTCCATTGTGATTATTGAAAAGTTAGAACCTGAGGGACAGTGGCTTATCAGTGGAGTCTCCTTTGGGAAGAGGACTTGTATTTCTTTTAAGTACACAAGGAAATCAACAGGAAACCAGCTCATGCACTTTTTCTGTTGTAAATTGTTGTGCTCATTGAAATTAAAAATGAAAGGCTGTTCAAATCAACTGGAGAGGGAAGCTCAAGAAAGTATAGAAATGAGTCAAGTACCTGAGCTTAAGCAAATCACTATTATTATTTGTAGGGACTCAAGTCAATTTCCAGTTTACACAATTCCCTGTATACAACTGATATAGAATTTAACACGTTAAATTCACACACAGCAACTTACATTTATTTCTGTCCTATCAGCAATCCATCGTGCAATCTGCTCAGCTGCAAATCCCCGAACTTGAAGCTCATAAGTGTCTGCTCGCTTCGGTTTCCCTTTAGCAGGAAAATGCATGAACGTTGGAGCAGAATTCATGTTGAGCTGGACAAAGAAACAAATGTTAAAAGTTATTACATTTCTTTACTTTCCCCCTTTTCTCTCCCTATTATAAGCGATTTAACATTAACTTCTATAGGTGCCAGCAGTCCCCCAGATTTTTAAAACCCAAGTGGCCATTATCAGTGAACGCCAGAATGTTAATCGTATAGAATGTATAGCACAGACACAGGCCATTCAGCCCAAATGGTCTATTCTGCTATTGATGATCCATGACGGCAATCTCAAATCATACACTTCAGCAAGTCATTTGATTATAAATCAGGAATGTCACCAGCCTATCAACACCCATGTTTGTCTGTCTTTAGTCTGACTTAGCTGGAGAGAAAATGTGTTGACAGCTCACCATGTCATGATCCCAGACAAAGTTATTAGTGAACAAATCAGGCCCCACAATGAAACTCAGTTTGATAGTTCATTTCTTAAAACTTTAATGCAGTGATCTTTCACTGAAAGATAGACTCGGTGCTGACACTAAAGACACTACAGTGGAAGAAATTAATGTCAAAACAAGTCTTCATAAAAAGCAATTAGATGCTAGCAAACAAAAAAAAGTAGAAGATTTGAATGGAAATATAACTTTTTTTACATGCAGAAAAGGGTCAAGTAAAAGTAATACTTTTAAAATTGGCTGTTTTAACACTTTTTTTTTTCATTCACTCATGGGACCTGGGCATCACTGGCTGGCCAGCATTTCTTGTCATCCAGTGTTGCCCTTGAGAAAGTGATGGTGAACTACCTTCTTGAATCACTGAAGTCCATGTGCAGTAGGTGACCCTCTGCCCTTAGAGAGGGAATTTGGAGGGGAACTTGCAGGTGTTGGCATTCTCACGTATCTGCTGCCTTTGTCCTTCTTAATATAAGTGGTCGTGGGTTTGGAAGGTGCGGTCAGAGGATCTTTGGTGAATTTCTGCAATACTTCTTGTAGATAGCACACACTGCTGCTACTGAGCATCGGTGGAGGAAGTGGATGTGGTGTCAATCAAGCAGGCTGCTTTATCCTGGAGGATGTCAAGCTTCTCGAGTGTTGTTGAAACTGCACCCATCCTGACAACTGGGAGTATTTCATCACACTGCCTTGTAGATGATAGAAAGGCTTTGGGGAGTCAGAAGATGAATCACTCACCACAGTGCTCCTAGCCTTTTACCTGCTCAAGTAGCCTCTGCATTTATGTTACAAGTCCAGTTGACCTTCTGGTCAACACTAATCCCAAGAATATTGATAATGGAGGATTCAGTAATGGTAACACCTTTGAATATCAAGGGGTAGTGGTTAAATAGTCTCTTACTGGTGATGGTCATTGTTTGGCATTTGCATTACTTGCCACTTGTCAGCCCAAGCCTGCATATTGTCCAGATTTTCTTGGATTGGAGGATGGATTGCTTCAGTATCTGGGAACCGTGAATGGCACTGATTATTGCGCAATCAGCAGCAGACATCCCCACATCTGACTTTATGATGGAAGGAAGGTCGTTGATGAAGCAGCTGAAGACGGCTGAGCCTAGGACACTACACTGAGGAACTCCTGTAGACATGTCCTGGAGCCGAGATGACTGATGAACAATCACGATGATTTTGCTGTGCACCAGGTTTGACTGGTCAGTGGAGAGTTTGCCCCCAGTACCCAACGATTCCAGTTTTGCTAGGGCTCATGGATGATGTACTTGCAGGGTCTATGTCATAGGATGTAACTCCCACCTCACTTCTGGAATTCAGCCCTTTTGTCCAAGTTTGAACCAAGGCTGTGATGAGGTCAGGAGCCAAGTGGCCCTGCGGAAGGCAAACTTTGTGTCACTCTGGCATATGACTGGTTACTTTCATGAAAGCAATGTTGATGACACCTTCCATCATTTTACTGATGATCAAAAGTAGACTGATTGGGTCTAACTGGCCGGGTTCAATTTGTCCAGATGTCTATGTTCAGGAATTATCTGGCCAATTTTCCCCATTGTTGAGCAGATGTTGGTGTTGTAACTGTACTGGCTAGGGAAGTGGCAAGTTCTGGAGCACAAGCCTTCAGTACTATTGTCGGAATGTTGTCAGGGCCCATCGCCTCTGCAGTATGAAGTGTCTCCAACTGTTTCTTGATATTATGTGGATTGAATTGGCTGATGCCTATTATCCACAATGCTGGGGACCACTGGTGGAGGCCAAGATGGATCACTCAGTGCTTCAGGCTTAAGGTTGTTGTGAACACTTCAGCCTCATCTTTTGCATTGATGTGCTGGGCTATTACGTCATGGAGGATGGGGATATTTGTGGAGCACATTATTGTTAAAGAAAATCTGCAGCCTAATGATTTATTACTTAAAAGGAAATCAATAATAAACCAAACCAAATATAGAACAGTCTGAAAGATCTTAAAATATACAAAGTTTTCATCTAACATCCAGCAGCATTACTTTACAGCATCAAATCCAAAGAGGTTATCCCTCAATTCTTTAAGTTTGACTCAACTGATTTTTCCCAGATCTTGCCTTCAAACTGAAGTCTTCTCACATGAATATTCCCAAAACTCCTTTCTTGGTATTTTAGTAAGTTTATATTTTGAACTAACAGATACTCAGTTTCCCACTATTTTTGTTATCTACTCCATTCTAAAAACGGTATTGTGCTTCTGATTCCAGTCAGATCTCCTCCAAAACTGCTTAAAAATTTCTAATTTCTGGGGTTTCCCAAAATCAATCCTTGATTATCCTAAGTAAAAAAAAACCCAATGGCACTCAAACGTTTATACTTCAGGATCGTATCAATAAGATTCCATTAATATTTGAGGTTACTGCTCACGACACATACTGAATTTGATTATGGACCCAGAAAGACTGACCTCGTTTTCTGAAACCCTTCATGAAAGTAACCAGTCATATGCCAGAGTTTGGATTCCAAACTCTAAAAATATGATATTCACAAATCATGCACCTTTCATCACAACCATTATACCACAGAGGTTGAACTCATTGACACATTTCACATTGTCCTGAAGCAAAACAAAACTGGTAGATGGTAAGTAAAATCTGTCAAAAAAAAAAAATACATGATTAACAAAGACAGTGGAAACCAAATCAACAGCCTTCATGGGTTTCACCCCAAGGGATTAAGAAAGAAGGAAAAACAATGAGTTCCAACAATCCACTGGATTAGTAAGACATATTGACAGCAATAGCTTAGTTTGCGAAACAGATTGGCACCGGGTGAAATAGCCCCATAAAGCCTTATCCTATATATCAGGCAATGTTTTCTAGATGATCAACATGAATACAAGAATCTCTATTAAAGAAAGAGAATTGAATAAAGCAACAAAGAATACCCTGAAGATGATCAAGAAAGACATACAGACAAAATTGATTTTAATTAGACTAAACAATAGTTTAGTAGATACCACTGACCCTTGCATTCACTAATTCTATTAATAATAGTGCAAAATTTTCCAAATATCTGAATTGTAAGTTAGCCACCTCACCTGGTGAAATACATCAGATCCTTCATCAAAGTCCACCATAGCAAAGAAAAGTTTATTTATGAAGGAGCTTGAATAACGCCAGGAGTTAGCCAGGATTTGGTATTCTTCATCTACTTGCCTATCCAGAGTTGAAATAAGATTTTTTAGGACTATTTGCAATTCAACACGAAACATAAATCACATTTGATACAGTACACTGTAATGAACCTTAAGCACAACTAAAATAAAGCTAATTTATATACTTGCAAACAGTGCACTGGCGCTGTGGCTGTAAGGCAGTGAACATCACAATAACGGAGTAGTTCCTTGGAGGAGCTTTGACAAATCGCCGAAACTTTTCTCCATTCATCCGAATTACAGCTCGCCTGTTTGCCCATTCCATCATCTGCCCAACTTTTTCAGACAGCAGAGTCTGAGGCAAAGAAACAACAATCAATATATAACCCTTGCAATAAACAGTCTTGAAAAAAGACGTTTTCTCGTTGTCATTACATGCCAAACTTCAGCCAATTATAAAGCAAACACGTTAAAATAAAGGTATTTCAACCATATAGTGGCATTTCTTTCCAGAAAGATTAAGGCCATAACTATCAGTTTGGTTCATGTGAGGTATGAAGTAGCAAATCATAAGTATTTGTTCTGAATCACCCATAAAATATTCAAGAAAACTCAAGTGTAAATATAATCAATGACTGCTCTTCAGCATGTATAAATTGATATTATATCCCATAATTATTTGGATTAATTATTCTAACAATCAGGAAACCCGAGGAAATCATTCATCTTTTTAAAAAAAACTTTATGAAAAGCTTTGTGGAATTTATCACTGCATCTTCGTTCTTAGTTTCTGTCTTGACTTATAAAAGACCTGAGACAGTGCACAATTTGGAACACTGCTAAAAACATGGACATGCTACTAAAGCTTTATATCTTGCAATTATCATTAAAAATGGAAGAGTACAAATTTTTTTTAAAAAATCATAACAATTCACATGAGAGGATAAAAAAAAGGCACTGGATGATTGACAAATTGATGCTCATTGGTTGAAGCACTGCCATTGAGAAGGAAACAGAAGTACAGGCTCCAAATAATCCTGGAAGATTCAAAATAGGTTTGAACATACTCCTTGTCGAGAGAATGAATCGCATGTCACTTCATAAAAGCATGAAAGAGTCACTTTACAATCTCCGAAATAACTGAAAAGTAAGCGATACTGGAAATCTGAAAAAGAAAATGCTATAAAATCACAAGTGGTCTGGCAGCACATGAGAAGAGAGAAACAGTTGACATTTTGAATCCAATATGACTTCTTGAGAACTGAAATGCAGTTGAAAATAGTGATATTTATGCTGTTGACAGACGAGAAGGAGTGAATCGAACAGACAGCGAGGGTATCAAAGCTAAACAAAAAGCAAGTGCTAATGGTGGTAAAAGAGAAATACAGATTTAAAATGTGTCCAATAGATATGACAAGGAGAAAATTGATCTGCTGCTGACAGCAAAGCAACATGAAACAAACAACACATGGTTGGTAAAATAGCTGTGGCCAATGAAAGAGAGATAGGGCTATGACAATACAATGGCTTTAAGAGGGTGTGTTTTTGCCCTTTTTTGGAGAGATGTTGAGCCATAGGTGCAAAGCTGTCTCATCCAACCCAATTAAGCAAACAACTTGGAT